AGGTCTTGGTGATGTTATCCCTCAGTAGCTTTCTATGTCGGTCGTAGTCCATTTCGTAGAGGTTTCGAGTTTTGTCTGCTGGGATGAACATAGATTTGGAGTTTTTTTATCTTTTTGATGTCGGAGTTCAAGGTGTTTTGGAATGAGTCATTTACTTTCTTGAAGGTTACGTTCTCTATTAGTCTTAGCATGTCGTCTTCGAATGATTTCATTTCGGTGATTTGTGGAGGGCATCGTTTGCTTTTAAGTCCGTAGTTGTCTTTAGTGTTGTCGGTGTCGTCGTAGTCGGAGTCGTTGCTGCGTCCGTTTAGTGAGAGAAAAAAAAAAAATATATATATATATAGGGTTCTTGTTTTAATATAATATGGCACACACTAGTTATTTAGTAACACCAAGTGCGTTTGTGATAGCGAAAGTGTATATACCCTGTGTGTACATGGGATTCATGAATGACTTGTCATATTGTACTGCTGCACCAAGTTTTTGATAATTACTTTTATCTTTGTTAATATGCCTCATTTACCATCATTATGAGATGCATACACACATATATGCTGTTTATAAGCCACAAAGTACTCGCAACTATTTCACAGCCTGTCATCAGTGCAGGCTGGCAAAAATGCATGAGGCTCAAACTCCCAACCACAAGTTCAAAAAGCTAAAATGAAATCGCTTCGCCAAAACGCCTTACCTAATGTGCTGTGAAGAAACCCTATCACATTGCAAAGTCTATTACATACCACACACAGGCCTACATGAAATTTAGCTTTTTTCTCTCTCTGATGGAGTTCTGTCCTCGGCAGGTTATATCTAGGGACGTCACTTAGATTTTTTTAGAAGTGGTCCAAGGGTCAAAGGCCTCAAAATGTATTGACAAGAAATAATTAATCGATTTAAATCAGCAGTGTCAACATTTTTAAAATACATATAATTTACACCCCCTTTGCCACTCCGGGTTATTTTTACCTAGCATAGAATTAGCAATAGGCCTACTCAAAATTTCAGACGGTATATACAATCTTAAGAAGTCGCCAAATAAACTTTGTATACTTTCCCACCGTCGATTCCCAAAGAAAAAAGACTACAATATAAGCATCCATGAATCTTTAAAGTTCGTAATCCCACCACTTCCATTATAATGAGTGTTGACGTTAGCAGATTCAATCCATGAACACTTTGTATCCCTGTTCCAAGTGAAAGATTTCTGTGACTTTGAAAGGCAAGTAATGATACTTTTCATTTTGATTATTCCTAATGTATTCATGTGGCAATATTATAGTTTTTTCTCTTATAGTAGTCGCTTAATTAACAAGCTATAATTAATTATATTGTATAATATGTTTGGCTAGGGCTAGAACATAGGCCATGTTGATGCCAGTCTGATTTTACCTAGCTAGCCTCCAGTAGAGGCATGGTATGCATCCGACGGCCTGCGTCTCGCCCTAAATACAAAACTACAAAAACATAACTAAATGCCTTCTAATTCTACAAGGCCTAGGTAGTAGGTAAAAGTACTGTAATTTAAAACAATAGCTTGGAATATGACCTAAGTAATTTTCAAAGACATAATTAATATGTACCTGAAGTATTGAACCAGGCTAGCCTAGACTTGTAGTTTGTGCTTAATTATAACATAATTATAAATTATATGGTAAATTTATAAAGGCTTATCTATGATACATCACATAACTTCATTTTCACAAATATTTTTTTTTATTTCTTTTACGTTTCAAGGATTTGAAGCACAAGTCAGCAGCAAGATGACGAGTATACCATTAATCACCAAAAAGAGAATCCACCGGCCTTGCGAAGGAAATCAAGGCAAAACAATGCATGTTCAGCTGACCTATGGCAAGTTTTCAAAAGATCATTATGAGATTTCATACCGTAACCCAGTTGCTCAACATCTATGCATATATTTGATTTTGCCCTATCCGCATGGTTGCAGTTGTATAAGGTTGATACTGACTTTACGTCCTTATCAGGTGAAGTGTGGCGTTAAAGGTGCATGTATTATGTGTAAAGTTACTCGACACTTTTCTATTATTTTTGAATTTATGAAATACATTTTTATATATTATTATTATTATTATTATTATTATTATTATTATTATTATTAATATTATTATTATTATTTACATTTCAATTTTTTGTATAAAATTGGGACAGCATATTGTGAGATATACGGACAAAATCTATATAAACATCTAAAATATGCATTTTGCTTTTGCAATTTATCCGTCAAACAAGGCTTATCTTCATTAAGCCTCAGGTGGCAAGTCCATCAAAAGGGCTTGCACGTTGTCTGTCCTGGTTCCAATCCTCTAGCCAGAATTTGACCCATGGTCGATCTGTTCAAGCCGGTCAGCGGTCGATCTGCTCCAGTCGGCCTGGCCTATCCAAATGAATCGATCGAACCATTCGCTCTAGTTAGCTTTGCCAGTCGCGACCGACAAAATACGTTCTAAAATCTGCATATTCTGATCGGCAGTAAATTCGAGGAGGACCAAAATAAATGTAATATTTTCAATTAGGTAATATGTCACTGGTTCTGATTTGAAATCTGCCAAATGTTTTACCTATTTGCGAACTCCAGCGTGTGCAGACGGGACAAATGACATTATTATTTTTTTGAAAGTCTGTAGAAAAATATTTTTACATGGCATAGGCTAAAAATGTTTTTCCCAAGTCAAAGGTTGTACGTCACATTTTATTCAAACTGATGAAGTCTTGCTGAGAACGCCGAAAGTAGTGTAGGTTAATATCAACTCTTTGTTTAAAAATAAATTAAATATACCGTTGAACAACCACATGAAACTTACACGAAATATATATAAAATAATATAATAAAGAATATAAAATGTGATATTTATATATTACAGTAATATAAAACAATAAGTGATTTTACTACTATGATACTATTCTATTAACATTTAATGTGATCATGTTACAGTATAGTAAACATTAATTAAACGATTGGCTAAGATATATCATGTTTGATTTGCTTTAATTGTGAAGTTTTGTCTGTATTAATAAGCTAGTAGCACTGTTTGCATTCGGAGGACAAGCAAGCATTCTAAGTTCACAAAAAACTCTCCTGCAAGAAGCATTCTCAACTTTTTTATTTGTTGTAGTAATCAAACACAAGATATATTTGATAATAGGACCACAAATTACAAAGGTCGTTAGTAAATATACTACGCATAAGAGGTTTGCTGACGCCAACTGTCAGAAATGCAAATTGGTGTAAATTAAAATCGCTTCGTTTAAGTTCTCGCCGAGTATCATAACCCATGCCAAATATCTTTAAAATAACTAA